TTTCAATATGAATATTAACCTAGAATGTGGTAAAATATGCAGATATTTCTTTTAGCTTTTATCTACTTTCGATACTCTGCGGATTTGTCTGCATAAATATTTTGTGGCTATGGCCTTATACGTTTATCTTTTCAGTCAGTTTGCATAAGATTTATTAAATATGCGCAAAAAATTGAAAAGTTTTCTGATCATTTGGGACAATCGTTGAGTGCGCTCTAATCGAAAAAATTTGCAATGAAGTGATGTAAGAATATCGAAATAAAATTTAATTGCTTTATCTTGCAGGGGAAATAGGAGAATGTGGAAATATCACATGCAAAAGGCGGAACAATCGATAGAAAAACATTTAGGACCGTTTGTCCAAGTAGGTTTTAAAATGTATCTGCCCTTGAACAAATTTTGTTCTGATAGATTTTAAAACGTACTCGAACAACGCTACTTGGATTATTGGCAAAATTGTATGCATTCTTCTTCATATTTTGTTCATTTTCATTAGCAGTTTACCATTTTAACGATATCCTTCAAAATTTCCCCTTAATCATATGAACGCGGTAGGCGATAAAATGTACTAAATGCTTCTTATGTTTCCCCCCAACCACTTTTTCAATACACAGATAACCGTTTTTCGTATACAAGAGAAGCCCGAAGGCGAGGCGCAGGAATTGGATCAGACCATATTGACGGCGCTGTTCAAATCGCAACACTTGAGCCCACCGGAACAGCTGAGTTTGGCGTTGACATGGAATCGCGTCGATATAGCTCGTAGCGAAATTTTCGTCTATGGGCAGGAATGGCCACACGGTAGGTTGATGCTTTGCATTTGCTCATTAAAATGTACATACGTAGATATCTACGCATCTATTGAAATTTCATTGCCGTTATTTTGCCGCTGGTAATATTGTACTTCCAGTTTTCATTCATTTAGTTGTAATGTTGAATTTAAATTTAAATTTGACAAGCTTCAATGAAGATGTTTATCGAATTAAATGAACTTCCAATTTTCGTTACTCATCTTGTTTTGCATTCCACATTGTTGTCTGCTTTTAGGCGCTTTGGACGAGGCGATGATGCAGGCACTCGAGCACGATAGAATCGATTTTGTGAAATTACTATTGGAGAATGGTGTTTCAATGAAGAAATTTTTGACAATACCACGCCTTGAGGAATTATATAATACAAAACATGGTCCAGCCAATACTTTAGGGTAAGTAGAAGATCAATAAAAATGCATGTGAAAAAGCAAAGTCGGAGTGATAATGCTCTCACCCCCTAGGATTGTTCTATATCGAAAAAAGTATGCCCCTATTTTTTTTATTTTGAAATCGAAAAGTATTTTAGAGGTCGCTCAAAGCGCTCAACGGTTTCCATGTATTTATTATATTTATGAAAAAAAAACAACTTTTCGTAGAAATGGTATAGAATTCTTAAAAATCAATATTTTTCTATCGGAAAAACTATGTTTATCTGCAAGAAATTCCCAGTAATAATACCAAACGTTTACTTAACCATTTTTTCATCGCATTTGTAGGTCCGCGAAAAAACTCCGAAAACCCCGAAAAGTGCAATGGGGGGACCAATAAAAAATCGTAAGTATTCAAAAATGGTTAAATAAACAATTGGGTATTATTATTGAAAGTCTCCTGAAGAGAACCAGAGCTTTCCGATCGAAAAATATTGATTTTAAAGAATTCTATACCATTTCTACGAAAAGTTGTTTTTTTTTTTCGTATATAAAAATTCATGGAAACCTTTGGGCGACCTCAAAATATTTTTTGATTTCAAAATAAAAAAATAGGGTTATACTTTTTTTTCGTTATAACTAGAACAATCCTAGGTGGTGAGAGCATTACAATTCCGACTTTACTGTTTTTGGACCACCCTAAGATGCATATATATGTACAAGAGAATTAGTTTTGATTTTCGCTGTGTAAATCAGAGTTGTATCGTTCGTTGGATTTTCAAAAAGTAAGTGTCCAATTAAAGGGCTTGATCTGTAGATGTGCAATATGATTTTAGTTTTTTTTTTTTTGAAAAAGGGTGACTACCTTTTTGAAAATTAAATTGGAATTATTTAAAAGGTTAAATTAATTATTACCTATTTGTAAACATCGAAATAGTTTTGAAATAGCTTTAGTTTTTAATTACATGCCGGCGGTTGCCACCTGCTCAAAAGTAAAATCAATTCAATTCTTCAGTTAATTAAAATACATACATGGTTGGGCCGAATTCTTGTAAACTATGTATTCCGATATATACAAACTTTTCAATGGTCTTCCTTGGCTGAATTCTAATAAAACCATTAATTTTATTTGCTTATAGTTACATTTTACGCGATGTACGTCCACACATCCCCAAAGGATACGTCTACACATTACATGATATCGGCTTAGTTATTAACAAATTGATGGGTGGCGCGTATCGGTAAGTAAACTTCTTATTTTGCTAAATACAGATTTCTAACTACGTATGTAAACATACCCAGTGGGAAAATGTAATGTATAGTAATCGAAGAAATAATTAATGAAAAACCCTTTTCACATTCGAAAATGCATTTTTTCTCCCAGGGCGATGTCCTAAGAAAAGTGGGGCAATCAATTTTGCATAGCAATTTTTTGAACTTTTTGAAATCATTAGAATGCTGATTATATAGTTAGCAGTAATTCTATCGAGAACGCATAAGAAATACATTATATTGTTTATCACACATGTAATGCATTACTACTTTTCCGACTGGGTAACTATGTGTAGAACTACATACATACATATGTAGTATACAGAGCATACCGAGCCCTAACCGCCAAAATAACGTAAGCGAAATTTTTTTTCTACGAATGCAACTGAGAAAAACCAAACATTTTCTTTTTGCAAAAGTCAACATACATCAAAGCACACAATATCCAAAAATTAGTTAATTCTGCCACTTTTGGGCAATAACTAAATAAGGCAGCTTAAAATACGCATAGTTAATTAAATACAAACATATTTGGCTATTAAAAGCAAACATTTAATTCCGGCTGGCTTTAAACTTTAAGAGAAAGGGTATTCTTTGGGAATTTCACTTAATCACTTTCCCTACTTGCTTATTTTCCCATTTAATGTGTTAATAGGTCAGGCGTTCGGCTCGCTACGGCATTCTGCTGCCTGTTTATGGTGCCTGTTTATGGTGCCTGTTTATGGTGTGAACTGTTAAACCGAAATATGTACTTTGGCTGACCAACGGGCAGGCGAATGTTTATATGAGGATGAGTTTATGTAACTTTGTATGTATGTGTGAAGTGTGCCGTGTGTTAAGCCGAGTTGTTGACTTTGCGCTTCAGTGCAAGGGATTAATTTAAAGGTCCCTTGCGTGCGCCGCAAAGCTTTGCCTACTGAAATTTGTATATCTCTGAATGCTACGCGCTTGTGTTTGTATTGTGTGTGTGTGTCCCTTAAGCACACGCAGTGCCATATACATAAGTTTTCATGCTTGCTTGCTTTTTGTAGACCTTTATGTGAAAATTAGTCCTTGATAAGGTTGCTCTTGCACTGTGAACTCACCGTACATAGTTAGAAGTTTTCGGGTAATAAGAGCAAAATGTGAATGTAGTTGCTTGTAGCTAACCGAAATTGTTTGAACTTTAATTTGGTTCTTTAAAAATGCTTGAATTTGTGTATTAATTGGTACTCTTTACTCTGCGAAGGGTTTCATGCTTGGCTTTGGGTGGCTATTTAGCTGAGAGATAATTTAAATTAATTAATTAAATTTAATAATTTTGTGTGTAAAGTATGGATTATACGAGGGTAACTAACTAAGTCTATAGATGCCGCAATCCTAATGCCATTTGAGTCGTTCTATATACACCTGAAAACATTGACGCAAGACGATAACACAGCAAAAAAAAAACAGTGTCTGATGTCCATTTTCCCCACTACGTCAGAATTGGTGCCTAACCTCAAAAAACATGGCGGCTATTATGTGATACTTGTGATATTTTTTTTAGATAATTTAAATTTGAAATGTTTTTAGGTTGGTTAACCAATTGTTTGATTAATATACATATGTACACAATCCTTCTGGAGTAAAATATGAGCATCATGAGCATCCTATAAATTTATACGTAAAGTTTTGTACCAGCACCTCCTTTGGCTAGAGGAAAAATTTTGGACGATGCCCCAACCCCATTTTAGGGGAAAATACATAGATATGTATGTACATATGTTACCAACTCAGTTATTTTTACAAGCTTTTATTTACCGTGCTTGCCCTCAAATACGCATTTATGACAGATATTTTACGCATTCAAGGATGTTCATAAATAATTTTAATTGAAGACAATTTCAATATTTGAAAATCACTCATACGCCATCGGCTTACTTTGCGAACGCGAAATAATTTCGAGTTATGTTAATGTGTGTGGGTATGTGGGTGTGTGTACAGCATATAGTTAATATCTCTTTCACCAAGCCACACAAATGTAGCTTTTGATCCACTAGGTCCAAAGACTTGAAATCTGTGTCGTTATCCTTTCGCTGCTTTAACTAAACTTCATGTTTTCCTCTTTTTGCGCGCTATCTCAACAACGTTTTATTAAAGTTCCAAATCTACCTAATTTCTTTTTATTTTATTTTTTCCCTTTTGCCTTTTATCTTTTAAGACTTATCAACACTTATTTGCTTGCCCTTTTCGTTTTTTTTTTTTGTTATTTTACGAGCACTTGAGCACTTTAAGCCAAAAAGTTTTATCCAGCTCGCATAGAATTCAAAATCAAATGCCGGTCTAACTACAATTTGATGGTGATGACACTGATAATGTTATTGGTATGTAGCTAGTTGCTTTGGTTTCTTTAGTAGGTGGTAATAATGACTTTGACGAGGATGCCAGTTGATCCTTTTTTCGTTTGGGTAATTTTTTGCAACTATGGTTTTTGTTTAACATTTTTTGTTTTAGTTACCCTGAATGTTACTGCTCAAGAGATTTGGGCGTGATTTTGCATTGAAATTTATTGTGTCACTTTTGTTGTGTGCTGCTTATATTCAATTTGCTGACCCTTTTGTGTTTTTTTTTCATACTAGTAAATTTTTTGTGAGTATGGATTTTAGGCAACGAAATTAAAAAAAAGAGAAAAAATTGCTTGGTGCTTTAGCGTCTTAATTTTAGTTTGATAGGATTAAAAAGGAATAGAAAGAGTTTTTTTTACAGTTTGAAAAGCAATGGTGTGGCCATGCAGCGTGTCCATTGGCAAAATAATCTGGATTTCAGGAGTACCATAAATATTATTGTTGAATTTTTTAAATTTCTGGCCAAATGATTTTAAGTCATCGCCTATAATAGCTGCGGTGGACTAACCTCGATGTTGAAAGTCGAAAACATAGTGGATCCGATGCACTCCAGGGAGCGCTTTAAATTTTGTAATTCGAATTCAGTTGCGGTTTTGACCTCCGCAGCACTTGACTGTTACTAGAATAATGTATACCAGCTTTCAGTTATTTCCTTCTAAATTCATTTCGGTGTCACGCCGAAAATATATTTCTTCCGGTTTTCCTGCGCGATTTTGTGGAATTTTTATACATTTTAGGGGTACCAGTTACCGCTTTATCTCGTTTTCTAAGACCCTCGGAGAGAGCACCTCCTGCTTTGGAACTAAAACGTGACCACAATTTTTTATATCTTTGAAGGTCTTTGGAGGACTTTGGCAGGACCTAGAATTGACCCAATATATTCCAGTTTGTTGATAAATTTCGATAATGTAATACATATCGACAACTCAATGAATTTAAAAAACACAAGATCCGATAATTCAACAAAACTCGATAACTCGGCAAATGTCGATAATTTCGATAACTCAAAAATATATATATCTCGATATAAATCGATAGTTCTATAAACTTTGGATACCTCTATAAATCTCGAGAACTCATTTAATTTTGATAGCTCCATATTTTTCGAAAATTTCGATAATTCATTGCACTCTGGTAACACGATAAAATCCAATAAATAGTGATAACTCGATAAACCTATATAACCTTGAAATTTCCATAACTCTTAGAAAATTCCAAAAATATCGATTCGATAAATCGAAAAATTTCAATATCAAAATAAAAATCGATAACTTGATAATTTCAAGCAACTCAACGCCTTACAATGACTCGATAAATGTCGTTAATTCCGTAAATAATAATTTAATAAATATGGATAACTTGATACATTTCATTAACTCGATAACTCTCCGTACATTTCCACAACTAATTTTCAGTGTCTACAAATTTCGACAACTCAATAAACATTGATCAATTTGAATAATTCGATACTTTGCGATAACTCAATACATATTGATAACTCGATGAATTTCGATAATTATAAACTTGGATGATTCGATAAATTGCGGTAACTTGATAACTTTCGATAACAAAATTTTTTATGACTGAATTTATTTCAATACCTATCTTAGTATTTCACTTACCATAATTCTTACGTACTTCTCGGTTCGGTAAAATCGCTAAACGAACGGTGCCAAAATTTAGTTAGCGTATTAATATATAGATAACAATAATACTTCGCGTTATTTTTTAACTTTCTCAGTTTTGTCCAATAACGCAATTTTTTTTTTAAGATATTGGCCAACTAAGTTTTCGATATACATCTTGTTTTTTGAATTTTTGGTACATCATTTCCGAGATGACATTTTTTCCCACTCCTGCCTCAACGTTTTCCTTATGTCCTTTATCAACCTCACGACAGTGCTGTCATTGACCTGCTATGCGGTCCTGTTCCGTTTCAAGCTGAAATCCCGAACATTTTTTTGGCAGTTTCCTTGGTGTTTCTTAGCTTGCTTTAAAGTAATGCCTGAAGTTTTCCGGATTCAGTATGTTTAGAACGAGGCCAATGTTTTTGGATACAAGAAAGTTAATGGTGAATCTGGCTGGACTTAAATCTGCCAAGAAAACTGTGGCAGCAATCATTTTTCAAAACACTCCTTAATGTAGATTTCCCCGTTGATTACGCTAGTTGTCACAAATGAGGGTGTCCTTTTGCCACATTGGCAAATTGCCTGCCACATAACATACTTTTTACTTTTCAATATTGATTGAACTGTCTGTATCCAGGAGTGTTTCGGCCTTTGGTCCTGTGCTCCAGGAAGTGTGCCAAAGTCCACTTTTACGTCCAAAATGATGCAAGCTTATTTTCTTTCATAAAATTCCACAAATTTCTGTCTAGTGTTTGTTCTTCTTCTCAGTAATCTTTGCTGCTTTTTGCTTCTTCCTAGTTTCTAAATTATTTATTTGTCTTCTTTCATCTCGGCACCATAGACAAAAATAAAGTTTTCAATATTAAAAATCGCGCTGGTTTCCGGTTGGCAATATTATCAAGGAAGAACCACTTCGAAGTTCTATATTTAGTTACCTTTCTCTTTGCCACTCCTTAAAACCTTTGTAATTTCATG